GAAATCGGGTAAAAACTCACAGATCGAAATCACATCTAAGTCACAGAAGATCTAAATTGCAACAATAACCTGTACATATACATGCTCATGACAAATTTTAAAAATTAAAATAGTATCTTATGCTTAAATTTATAATTGTGCTAAATAACTTATGAGCTACCCATAAAATAGACCATATACTCCCATTAACAAGACAGAATTTGAGAAAAAATATGGAATTACATTTTTTCCATGTACATAATTATATTCTATAGTCTGTCCCTTTGAAAGGTAACACAAAGTAGGGGTTAAGCATAAGGTCTCTAAAACCCTGAAGCCTGGGATCCAATATCCCACTTCTATTACGTGTTAGCTATGTGACCTCAGGCATGCAACGTAACACCTCTGTATGTTGCTTTTCTCATCCACAAAATATGGATGAGCTCAAAGGAACAAACTTCACAAGCTGTTGTGAAGACTGACTATAGCTTTTAGAGCAGTCCTTGGCACTCAGGAAGGGTAACCAATTAATGTTAACACTGTATAACCAAAATTACAATGGTATGAACCAAAGCGGCTTTATTGCTAGAAATCAGCCCTTCCCCTCCAAACTGTTCCGTTTCTCACCTGTGCTCAGATGCTGATTCCCCCAGTTCTTTTAATCTGCTTCCTTCTGCCAACACACTGATGTCTTGGCTGACCCCTGAGGAGCAATTTTCTGCTGGACTTGGAGGCTGACTGCAGGATGTCAAAATTGCTCCCGAGTAGGGTTTCATATTTCTTCTGTTTCATCCTTTTTCAATGTATTTTGTTGTTGCCACAGTTATTCTATTCCTGATGAATTATATATTGGATGGATGGGGAGCAGATCACTTTTTTCTTAGTTCATTAGTGCCCATCTCCAGCCCTGAAACAGACTTCCACAAAAGTACATCACCCAGAGATCCTAAACTCTGGGCATGGGGTCTTTGCACAATGGAATTCCCCAGTTGTAACCCTCAAAAGGTGGTGAATATATTTCTTGCATAGGAGAGTGAATTCAATATTTTGTTCCCAAAGAGCATATCTGGGGAGTTACTAGTGCTGTCCATTTTCCTTTCATCCTTTCATGCTCCCTTGCAGTTAGGTGTGGACACATGTCTCATATGTAATGTGAACCAAAGTGATGTGTCCCTTCAGAGTGGAAGATTTAAGTTTCAGTAAATAATTCACTACTTTCTCCATCCCCTGCGTTGCTGATGGAATTATGTCAAGGTTGTGCCTCCATCAGCCTGGGTTCCAGAGTGCTTATAACTCCTCAACAATGTGCAGAGCCTCCCAAAGGCCAAGGTGGACATACAGTTTGAGCAAAAAACCCTTCCTGTGGTAATGCACTGAAATTTGGGGATTGTTCTCTCAGTATCACCTAGCCTGTGCCATTACGATAAATGATTAGCCTCACTGCAATCCCTGGGAGATTCTCTGCACTCCCTGTTCTTGTTCCCAATAAAAGCCCTTTCCCTTAGTCTCCCGATTCACACCAGAGACCCAGGCAATAGTTTCAGGCTGACATTGCAAGACGATATTTAGAAATGAACAATTCATATGCCCTGCAGTCAACCTACCTGGCTAATTTGAGGTTCCACCACTTACTAATTAGCCAAATGACTGAGCAATGTATTTAATATGTGTAAAAATGGGGTGACAATGTTTACCTGTTCTAGGTACTATACCTGTGTAAGAAATGACAAAACTTAATGGTGTCAAACAAGCTTTTATTATGCTCATAGATTTGTGAATGAAGAACTTGGACAGAGCACACAGCAGGGATGGCTCATCTCTCCCTCCAATGTGTGGGCTCCAGATAGAAGACTGAAAGATTAGCAGCTGGAATGATCTGGAGGCTCACTCCCTGACACAGCCGGCAGTTGTTGGTGGCTGTCGACTGAGCCCTTTGCTAAGGGCAGTCAGCCCAAACTCACATACAGCCTCTCCCACGGTCTGGGCTTCCTTTTCAAGAGAGAGCAGAAGCCACATCTTTTGTGATCTACTTGCAGAAGTCACACAGCATCGCTTCCACTGTACTCTACTACAAGGCAATTGCAAAATCTTGCCCAGGCTCAAGGAGAGGGAAGATAGGCTGCTTCTTCTGAGAGGCAGCCAGACTCTGGAAGAGGACATGGGACCAGGAACACTGCTATGGCCACTTTCAGAAAATAAAATCTGCCACACTTTCTAAGATTGGAATGAGCTAACAATAAAATTACTTAGAGCAGCTGCTAAGTACATGCTTGGTATTGATTTTTCCACTGCACAGTCTAGAACCACACGTAACAGCCTCCCTGCTCAGCTTCCACTCTGCTTCTTCGTGGCCAGACTTTCCCTTCCTAGGAACCTACTCCAAAGATCCTTTATTACAGATTCTAGACCAAACTAAGGGCAATTCCAAAACAGGAGGCATTCAGGAGCATGCTCTGACTCTGTGCTCAAGATGTTCATACCACAGTCTAATACAAGCAAGTTTCCCAAAAAGTATAATCCTTTGGATGCTGGGCTATCATAGGCTTAGGATTCGTTCATTTTTATGTTTTCTTTATAAAGGACTTCAGAAGCTTTCAGGCTTTGTATTAACCAAAATCTACCTACACATGTCCCTTTATAGCAAAAGATCTTCAAAAAAATGTTAAAACTTTACAAGTAGATTTTAGCTGGATTTTACTTTTCATTTTTTAAAATAGAAATGTATCGTTCTGTCAAACTATTTGGTACCTGATAGCAGATTTTAAGACAAAGTGAAATAAACCTCTAAAGGGTGGGTCATTCATGACAGTGCTCACATCAGACTGAAATGGCAGAACGGTATCAGCTAATATTCTCAGTGTATGCTAAAAACGACTGGACTATTTGTTGTTAGAGAACGGTGTGTGGATTAGGGCCTCCTTAGCACTAAATTACCAGAATCCAGGAAAACAGGCTTGGCCAATAAGTGAGCTATTAAGTCATGTGTAGAGCAGCCCAAGGGCACCATTTCTTCAAACCTTCTACAATTTAAATTGCAAAAGATAAAAAGCTAGCTTTACTCTTGGTGCCAAGAACCTTCTGTAAATCTTGTGTGTAGTTTGAAATCCAGAAAGTTGCTGCCATTATAATTAACCTAGAGTTTGGTGCTATGAAATTGGCTTAGCTAAGTATCTTCACTACCAAACTTCTGGGTAGCAACTAAATATGCCAGATCTCAGTCACTAAAGTTAAAAATCCAGAACCAAATCCCACTGCCTGGAAAACTGGTAGTTTGGGGTTTATGTCATATCTTAAACCTTGTAGTGTACACTCTATAATGATTATGAACCGAGTTTCCCAAGGATTTTTTGTCATTTAGCTTGGTTATCTGAAGCTTTACCAGGAATAAATAAGCCTAGAATCAAATCATTCTAGGTTTAAGCAATTTAAGCACCTACAGACACAAGATAACCATTAGAAGTCATCTACTAGGGTCAGGTGCAGTGACTAACACCTTGGCATTTTGGGAGGCCAAGGTGGGTAGATCACGTGAGGCCAGGAGTTCAAGACCAACTTGGTCAACATGGTGAAACCCCATCTCTACTAAATATACAAAAATTGGCCAGCCACAGTGGCACCTGTCTGTAATCCCAGCTACTTGGGAGGCTGAGGCATAAGAATTGCTTGAACCCAAAAGGCAGAGGTTACAGTGAACCAAGATCATGCCATTGCACTCCAGCCTAGGTGACAGAGCGAGACTATCTAAAACAAACAAAACAAAGTCGTCTAAGATAATGACATCTCTGTTTCTTAGAGATACTCTCTGGATACAGCCCTACAGCTACCCTAAAATACACCCTTCTTCCAACTTACCAGCTAATTTTCTGCCCACTCACTCCTCCATCAAGCATCCTTGTATTTATCAGTACACCAGCAATTCCCTTTTCAAAAGGTTTTAAGAGCTAAATTCACCTTTATAAGGTATTTCAAAATATTGTCCCTAAACAACCAATGAGTATTTACTGAAAATCTTCTACCTGTTCTTTGAACGTGTTTTTTGTTTGTTTGAGATGAAGTTTTGCTCTTGTTGCCCAGTCTGGAGTGTAATGATACCATCTCAGTTCACCGCAACCTCCAACTCCCGGGTTCAAGCGATTCTCCTGCCTCAGCCTCCCAAGTAGCTGGGATTACAAGTATGTGCCACTGTACCCAGCTAATTTTGTATTTTTAGTAGAGATGGGGTTTCTCCCTGTTGGTCAGGCTGGTCTCGCTCCCAACTTCAGGTGATCCGCCCACCTCAGCCTCCCAAAGTGCTGGGATTACAGGTGTGAGCCACTGCACCCAGCTGAATATGTTACTATACTTTCTCTTTCAAGTAGGTTTGGACTTTTAACGGAAATGCTTAGTCAGCCTGGTTGTTCCTCTAGAACAGTGATCAAAAAATTATGGCCCATGGACCACATCTGGTCCACCAGCTGCTTTTATAAATAACTTTTAACAGAACCCAACCATGCTCATTTTTTGACATACTGTCTATGTAACTGCTTTTGCACTATAATGGCAGATCTGTACAGTTCCAAAAGAGGTCCACAAAGCCTAAAATATTTGTGTGAATCTTTATTTAAAAAAAAAAAAAAAAAAGCCTGATCCCTGCTTTAGGACAAGTCTCTAGAAGTGACTTTGGCTCAGCATAAAAGAGAAAAGAATGAACTACTATCTTGCAAAATAGAGCTGTCAGAAACTCCTACAAAAGACTCAAGTCTCGAGTCTTACCTAGGCAGCTATTAGGAATGCAGGCAGAACAAAAATACTGTAGGTCACTGATGACTTCCCTAAGATGAGGCAAGGACTGGAAAGAAGCCACGTGAGCACAAGATGCAGATGACATCTAAAGCAGCTCTGCCAGAAGAGTGCTGTGAATTCTTGCAGACATCAGACCATTTCCTTTTCCTAGCTTACTCTCCACTTTACTGTGATACAGCAAAAAATTTCTAATTACCTCTTATGAAGAGACTGTATGAACATAAATGACTATAGCAGTGTTTAAGATTTAGGACTTTTATTTTTTTCAAGTTAGGCTGAGTTGACTTTCATTGTTCCCCCATCTACTCATATATAGTACTCACACAAGAAGAAGAAATATTTGCATAGTACCATACAACAAGAACAACAATTACAGCACGAAGAGCACCTAAGCTTTGGCAGCTGACTTGTAGTGGGTCAGCGTGCGGGCGGAAGGGTCAGTGGCATTGATCCACTTGGGCATCCAGTAATGGCTCAGCCAGTAAGCCCGGCCTGGGTAATGGCGTTCAAAGATTTGACGATAGTAATATCCTTCTTTGGTTTTGGGAGTATTGAAGGGAAATTTCTGGGCTGCATTTGCCATCATTGCATCATCAACCTGTAAGAATAAATGTGTAAGAGCAAAATAGTTTTTTAAAATGGCATGGAAATACTTGTATTTACTCTGGTTCCACAAAACAGAAAACATTAAGACATGACTGTAAATTATATGAGACCCTTTGAATCACCCATCGCTTAGAAAATGCTAAAGTATTCATCATAATACGCACAGCTACAGTGACTACTGAAGAATTCATATACATATTTTTAATGCTTGGTGGCTCTGTTTTAGTCATTTGTGCCTAACAAGATCTGGCACCCAGCAGGTGCTCAATAATGTGTTATATGAAGGTAAGTGATGATTGTAGTAGTAAGTCTCCTCTCTCTTTTAATTCTAGATGCTACTTTGTAATCCTTTATGATACTTAATTCTTATAAAAGAGACAACTGTTTACAGAGACTATGACTGTCTCTTACAGGGACAAAGCATTCAAACTAAATACGAAATGAATAGCAATGACAGCTCTGCATCCAAATTGTCCCATTCCTGAAAATGTTTTTAAAGATATTATACCTGATGTTCAATGTATTCCTGTAAAATCTTGAACCACGAATTCTTAACTGAAGTTATGCCATCACTGAAGGCTTCTTTTGGTCGCCAGAGAATTTCTTTGGGTATTAGATTGGAGTCCTCAAATGCCTCTCTCAGGAGATGTTTTTCTATCCCATTCTGACATCAAAAAAAAGGAGCGTCAGTGAAAGTTACAAATATAATCTGGTGGCACTGGACGGTTTCTATCTTGAGTTGATTTACCTACCTTTGGAATTCTCAATTCTGGTGGCAGAGACAAATAATAGGAAGAAAACCGATGATCTAGAAATGGGACTCTCAGTTCAAGGCTTAAAGAAAAAAAAGAAGAAAATCTAAATTAAAATGTGTATTTAGTGCCCATCAGTTCTGATTCAGTTACCCATCAATTCAACCAGATTCTAAGAAATGTTAAAATCATATAGCCACATACAAGTACAAGCCTCCCGTTAGGAGGCTGCCCTACACTACTGAATGAATACAAAAAATATATATATTTATTTAAAGTAACAAACATGTCATGTCATCTAGGGAGTAAAACTAACTATTTGAGACTATTACTTTTAGTTTCCTTTCTAGGAATAGTTAATTGAATATTTTAAAAAGCAAAAAAAGTTACAAATCATGAGTGACCCAATCATTAAGAAAATACCTTGCCTGGAGCTTTCTAAGTCAGTGTTTTCAACATGCAGTATATAAACTAGCATTCCACTGTATTTCATCAAATGCCATATCACCAGTTTCCTGAAGCCTAGAGACTCTAGTTAAGACAAGTAGATGGGATAATAACCAGATTCAGTTCATTCCCCAAACCCATAATTAATTATATCCTAATTTACGTGTGATTCAGCAGAGGCAACTAAAACATTTAATGTCAGTTGTTTATCCTATATAGCAAAAGTCTTCCGTTCCTCAACATAACTTTAGACAACCAGACATGATACCAAAAAACCCAGTTCCTCATAATGTAATCAAACGCCTCGCATCTTCACTGCCCTATCCCCTCAGGGTCACTACAGCACCAAACAGGCATGCTGGGCATTCAATATTGTCACATATTTACAATACTTCTCTCTTTTGGCATGAACCACCACGCCTGGCTGATTTTTTTGTATTTTCTTTTTTTTTTTTTTTTGAGACAGAGTTTCGCTCTTGTTACCCAGGCTGGAGTACAATGGCGCGATCTCGGCTCACCGCAACCTCCACCTGCTGGGTTCAGGCAATTCTCCTGCCTCAGCCTCCTGAGTAGCTGGGATTCCAGGCACGCGCCACCATGCCCAGCTAATTTTTTGTATTTTTAGTAGAGACGGGGTTTCACTATGTTGATCAGGATGGTCTCGATCTCTTGACCTCATGATCCACCCGCCTCGGCCTCCCAAAGTGCTGGGATTACAGGCTTGAGCCACCACGCCCGGCCAATTTTTTTGTATTTTCAGTAGAGACAGTGTTTCTCCATGTTGGTCGGCTGGTCTCCAACTCCTGACCTCAGGTCATCCACTGCTCCCGACCTATTTCTCTTTAAAACACTTAACAATAGCTGTAGCAGCCTTCCCTCTTCCCTCTTGGTTGTTCAGACCTGAGCAGAATGTTGTTACCCTTTAAAGGTGAAAACTCTACCTCAAACGACCTATGGAAGAAGTCTTCTCCCCACAGACCACGACACTTTGAAATGTGGCCTCTTTTGGGACGAAGTTAAGAAACAGCTTCATTTTCTCCATAGAAGTCATATTTTATAACATATAGCCAACTGTAGTATGTAACATATAGCCAATCAGCTATTGATGTTTTAATTTTTTCAGGGTATTGGGCTTTTTTTTCTTTTTTTCTTTTTTTGGTGTTTTTTTTTGTTTTTGTTTTACAATAGCTTCTTAAAATGTTACCCGTGGGCAGCAGTAGTTCGATCTGCGCGGAGAACATCAAACAAATAGAGTTCCCTCAGGAGCCTCTCGCTCTCTTCCTCGGCTTTTTCCGGAGAAGGAGCCTATTTCAAACAAAAATACCAAGATTTTGCTTTTGGCACACAAAGCGGTTTGTCTTTCTCTCCAATCCCAAAGGTGGATAAGACAAAAAGCTAAACAAGTTTAGAAAAGGGAGTAAATAACTGAACAGAGCTAAGCAATGCTTCACAAAACATACCTTCTAAACTGCTAGTATTATAATAAAATGAACACACTGGGAAACAGTCATAATTCCATAGGGGGCTAAGAAATGGCAGAAAGGTGATTCTCAAGCTTAACTAGTTTTATTTATTTAACTTTTGCTTTTTTTTTTTTTTTTAAGAGACAGGTTCTTGCTCGGTCAACCAGGCAGGAGTGCAGTGGCACAATCACAGCTCACTGCAGCCTGGGACCTCTTCGGTTCAGGTGATCCTCCCACCTCAGCCTCCTGAGTAGCTGGGAGTATAAGCATGAGCCACCATACCTGTCTATTACTAGTTTTAAAGAATAAAAATTATCTAACACTATTAAAATTTCTTTCTTCCCCAAGAGATAGAACGCAAACACTATCAGATTCCCTTTGTAACCTCACAGGGCACTCAAAAATATTACTGTCATACTGAAAGATGATAGAAAATAGTCAAACGATTCATACTTTTCTTAATACAGAATGAACATCCCTCCACTTCACAGTTCTTACCTTGTGAAAATATATGTAACCTTGCGTAAGTTCGTCTGATCCCTCTCCAGAGAAGATCACCACGCTATCTGTGTTCTTCCGAATATACTTGGAAATTAAATACATACCTTAAATAAGAGAGAGAAATTAACTTTAATGTCAACATAACCTTCCACCAAGAATGCCTTTGATTTTTGGAAACAACTGAAAGTTTTACTACTATACTGGACTTCAAATTAATATAAAATAGTTTCCACAATAATGACCTTATATTTATAAGCCATTTACATGTACTTAATCCAAAAGTACTACTGTAAAATAAAATAACCCAGAACCATTCTGTCATTTTATAAAGAGGTTTCAAAATTCTAACGTTCTAATGTTTTTAGACCAAGAAAGACCATCTTAAAACTTTGCTAAGCAGAACAATGACTCAAATATCTAAAAATCATTCCTTTCATAGTAGCATAACAACACAAAAACAAGAGCACGTGTTTGGGTGGTTTAATGTCAGTTTTCGCCCTGCCACTCTCCATTTACCAGATTTTTCATAAAGCCAGGAAGACTATGTCAGTTATTAAACCTGCCTTCTTGGTTCTGTACCACATCCCTCTAAACCAGAGTTTCTTCTCAACCTTGTTTTAACTACCACCTCAGCTAGAGAGCCTTTTTTAGACAGTTATTTTCCTAACCCCAGCCCCATGAAATTCCAGTACCAGGGCTACCCTATTTATTGTGATGCTTTGGAGGGCCATAAACCATTGTAATATCTAAGATATTTTTGCCCTTCCTCTCAAGAGAAACAGTAGCATATAAAGGCTCAGTAACATCGGATCCATGTGATTTGGTGTATACGTCCAATCTCAGTGGATATATTATCTACAAGATAAAATTAGTATTGTTTGCAGAGCAATGATAGCTAGTGACTGGTAAGTTGTATGATGAAATATTTACCAAAATATATCTAAAATGTGTATTTCTTATCAAAAATACATTACCAAATAGACCTATTTCTTCACTGTATACAGACTGTAGCCCAAGAAACTATAAGAGAAATGGGAGATTGAGGGAAGAAAATATGTATCTACTCCCTGGGAAAACACCAACAGTCCAACATTACCAAAAATGTAGAAGTTGAACTATGTATTTATTGTGCCCTTCACTCCAAAAGAGATTCGGAGAATTCTTAAGTGATCTTAAATAATTAATAACATACGGATTTAATTTGCATTCATCCTTAAATAATATTATTTCTTTTTTTTTTTTGAGACTGTCGCCAGGCTGGAGTGCAGTGGCGCAATCTCAGCCCACTGCACCTCTGACTCTTTGGTTCAAATGATTCTCCTGCCTCAGCCTCCCGAGTAGCTGGGACTATAGGCGTGCGCCACTATGTCCAGCTAGTCTTTGTATTTTTAGTAGAGACAGGGTTTCACATGTTGGCCAGGATGGTCTGGATCTCTTGACCTCATGATCAAATCACCTCAGCCTCCCAAAGTGCTGGGATTACAGGTATGAGCCACCATGCCCAGCCCTTAAATAACATTTTTTAACTATTGCTTGAAATAATTTTTGTTACACCTTACATTTTTTTTCAGTATTTTAAAAAAACTGTTTATTTACTAATATAAGTAATACCTCACCTACTGATGCACGAACTGTTGTAATATCGTAAGTTTCCAAAGAAAATATGACTTCATCGAGAGCCTGAATGCCTTCCTCTGAGTTGAAGAGGACTTCATGATGCTCGCTTCCAATATGATTTGCTACCTTATTATATAAAGAAATACCCCTTTATTTGTTAAAGAAATTAACTTCCCTTGAAAATCAAACATGATGCGAGTTCACAAAGCTTTATGAATTAACAATGGTAAAAACTAAACAAGGGAAAACAGAAAACCTGATTTTATAGGCCACCACATACAAGCCCCATCCAGCCCTGTTCCCTCGCCTGCTTCAACTCCACCACCAGGAAGCAGGTCTCCCCTCAGCTCCTCCGGTGCCAAGGCTTCAACCATTCTCTCAGTCGGCACCTTCCACCTCACCCATTTTACCTATCCCACCTCATTTCTCCCTAGTCCAGCAGGGTCCCATGCTAAGCTTGGTCTTTTTTGGTCCTTCTGAAATGCCTAATTTTATAACCCAGATGTTATTACTATATAGAATGGCCCCTCCCCTCATTCTACTTTTCCTGGCTATTTTGGATTCTCTCAGCATTGATCACTTTGCATTGAGACTGCTCTCTAGCTCTTTCTCATCCATGTTACAAAAGTTCTCCAGAGTGGGAACTAGGTCTCCTGCTCACTGAATACAGACAAGCTCCCCTCTGCTCACAGTATTCTAAATATAGCACTTTTGAAAATAATAACAGCTAACACTCATTAAGTACTTACTATATGTTAAGTTCTACCCCACTTACTTTACATGAATTATATCATTTCAACTTAAAACCACCCCATAGCATAGACTATTATTTTTGTTACATAAACAAGTAGAGCCAGAATGTCAAACCACAAGTCAGACTCCAAAGCCTGCAGTCTTTGCCACGATATCATGCCTTTACGTTCTTTTTTAAAAAACAAAACAAAACAAAAAAACGAACAAACAAAAGCCTCTCTTTTGAATTTCTCAAGATGGGATGTTGCTATGTCACCCAGACCGGACTTGAACTCCTGAGCTCAGACCTCCCACCAGTCTCCCAAGTATCTGGGACTGTAAGTGTGTGCCACTGCACCTGACTTATGCCTTTACTTCCTTCCTTTTTTTTTTTGAGACAAGGTCTCACTCTGTCACCCAGGTTCCCAAAAGGCTAACATCACAAGCATGCACCATCAAGCCTGGCTAATTTTTATATGTTTTTCTGTAGAGATGGGAGTTTGACTATGTTGCTCAGGCTGGTTTCAAACTCTTGACCTCAAGTAACCCACTCCCTTGGCCTCCTAAAGTGCTGGGATTACAGGTGTAGGCCACTGCACCCAGACGCCTTTACTTTCAAAAGAACATAATTATCATCATAGGGTCTTTGTGAGAACTGTATGGGTCATAACAGATAAAAGTACAGAGGACAGTGTACAACACAGTGCATATTCAACAGCAATTTCATTCTACTTTAATACATTTGAAACAATTTCCTCAGTCAATACAGCAGCATAAGTGGAATTATCCATTATTGATTCCATTTTCATTCTAATAACAAGTCTACTCTAGCTATACAAGGGGCAGAGACAGCACCTTACCTTTCTTGCAGCCAGTAAATCGGGGCTGTCTTCCATGCCAATTGCAAATGTCTGGAGAGGATACTGTACTTGGGCCTCTTTCATCTGCTTCAACAGCGTGGCAGCAACCAAGCTGGAGTCCAAGCCCCCTACATGCAAAACAGAAAAGTGGAAGTGTCCTAGTTATGTGCCTTGAATAAGACAGGGACAGAGGATGTACATTCCTGATAAACACCAAGATCACAGTTTTACCATTTAAAATCCTTAAGTTTTATAAACCGAAATCAACTTCAATAAGATAAAAATACATATACTGTGATAATATTAGTATTTGGTTAAAAATCACTACACAGAGTTCTAAAGAACATTCACTGGCTCACTCTTTACACCAATAACATAGCTACAGTGTCACTCAAGTTGGAGTGTTACTATGAGTATTAAGTGTAGCTTATACAAAATGGTTTCCATCCTATAATGAAGGAAAGATTTTATCATATAGTAAATATTTTATAGTAAAAACGAAAGGGATGGCTACAAATCATCTCAATTAAACACACATGAAATATAATTAGGTTTTTTTAAAATTGACTTCACCTGATAAAAGGCAGCCAATCCTCCTGTCTGTCATCAAACGCTTCTTTACAGCATTATTAAAAAGGATCCGGATGTTGTTCTTCACTGTTTCTATCTCAAAACCTATAAACACAGCAAGTAAATCAAACGGCTCCAGAAAATCTTGGGCTGGATTAGTTATTGAAATGAAATACATAATCATCAACACCTATCATGATGGCATTTACTCAACGGTTGAGCCTGCCAAATCTTCACGTGTTCCCTCCAAACAAAACAGGAAGTAGGTCTTGACACTAAAATCATTCAAATGATGTAAGAGTACAACTTATAACTTTTTCCCTTGGAGAAGGATGGGGAATAGGTGGGTGGGTGTCCACTACCTGGAAAGAGTTTCTCCACATTGTCATAGAGGGCGTGCAGGGGTTCATCCCGACAGTGATGATATTTAACCATTTCCACAGACGCAACTTTGCCATTTGGCTTTAAATCCAAAACTTCATAGTGTCCAGGAAGAAAAGGCTCCACTTTTAAAAAGGGAGTTGAAGCGTGCTTCAACGTAACAAGACCTACAAATTCAAAATCATACCTTTGTTCAAATTAGGTAACCTTTCACAATTAGTTAACATCCCCTACATTCCTATTTATTTTTTCTTTTCAATACAAACGCATGCCCATTAAATAAGCAAAATAGGAAAAAAAAATTTTAATCGCCCAAAGCCCTACCATCTACTTACTGGAGAGAGAATAATGGCACAGTGATATACTGCCAAATTGCACTAACTTTTGGTAATTCAAAGCAATAGAAAAATCTTCAGTGTTCAATTCCTTCTTCTTAGATTTCTAACCAAGAAAACCTATTTTCTATACTAAAGCGAATACATACAAAAGGAAAAGACACACTTATGAGGTAAAGGGAAGAAACGGAGTCCTAATGTTATGATAAGCTAGTAGTCATTTATTTGTCATCACTGAGGTATTTTCAGAAAACAGCCATGGTTCCCAGACCTTTAACAAGTTCAATGATCCACTCTTAGCTACTTTTAAGTCAGATAAGACATCTACCCCTTAACTAGTTGTTATGCACTATATGTGAATAAAACCATATAACTTAAATTTCCTCAAAAAAATCCCACAGAAAGTACCCAACCTCACATTACCATGATCTTTGACGCAAACATCAATGTTTTCTTGTAAATCGTAAAAGACTATATGGAATACCCAAGATTTAAAATTTGAGATTGTCAACCCAGCCAGCAACCTGTGTAGCACTGAATTCACATACCAGAAAAAGGACCCAGATTCCCTCACCAGCTTTCAGAGCTCGTGAGCTACACAGCCTGGGAAAGGAATGGGGAGTAATTTAAAGGTTTTAAGCAGGCAGTACTATCATCAGATGAGTTTTTGACAGGTTATTCTAAAAGCATTGAGAAAGGAAAACTGTTGCAGTCTTCCAGATGAGATCATTTGGTCTGGAAAAGGACAGTGTCAAGGATATAGAAAAGAACTATCAAGGAATTTCAGAGGGTAAACTGGATGTGATTATAGCTCCATGTCAAGTGATCGTCAGGCTCAAAGAAGGCACAGAGGAGCAGAAGGCTGCTTTTCTGGGGTGTTCTCTTTGCCAGGCTTGCCCAGCAGTCCTGGCAACTGATATATATGCTTGTTCTTTGCCACCTGATCACACTAGAAATGCCTGAAAATAAAACAGTTCCGGTATTAGTACAAACACTGTGACTAGTGTCCTAAGGACCCATTCAATTGATCTCATTATCCCTGTTGCAGCCAATATTAAATCTGAAAATTAAGTGAGAAAGAATTTAAAGAATGGCAAAAAGAGGCAGGGAGAGAGATTTTAGGATGTTACTGCTGTATAGGTAAGGAATAAAAAAAAAATGTCTTCCTTCACTTCTTCATCAAAAAGTGCTATACATGATTCACAATTATTTTCTTCCCTCTTGTGGGTTGTCTTTTTGATTTCTTGATGGCGTCCTTTGAAGTACAAAAATGTTTAATTCTGATGAAGTCCAATTCATCAATTTGTATTATTGTTGCTGGTGTAATATTTAAGAAAGCTTTGCCAAATCCGAGGTCATGACAATTTACTCCTATGTTTGCTTCTCAGGATTTTATAGTTTTAGTCCTTACATTTAGGTGGATTAGCTCAAAATGGATCCAACTGATCCATTTTTTTGTATCCAGAGCTTTTGTATTTGGTGTTGGGTAAAGGTCCAACACTTCAGGTTTTGCATATGTTTACATATCTAGTTGCCCCTGTGCCAGTTTTTGAACTTGTTTCCACACTGAATAATCTTAGCAACCTTGTCAAAAATCAGTTGATTTTATATATATATGGGTTCACCTCTCTCAATTCTATCCTATTGGTCTATACATCTATCTTTTTGCTAGTATTATACAGTCTTTATTATCATTGTCTTGTAGCAAGTTTTAAAGTCAGTAAATAAGAATTCTCTTACTTTGTTCCTCATTTTCAAAAGATTGTTTAGGCTATTCTTTAGTTCCTTGCAATTCCATATGAATTTGACAGTCAGCTTGCCAATTTTACAAAGAACTCATCTGGGATGCTAATAAGGATCAAGTTAAATCTGTAGATCAGTTTAGCGAGGACTGCCATCTTGATAATGTTAAGCCTTCAATCCACAATCATGGGATACTTTTCCATTTATTTAAATCTTCTTTCATTTCTTTCAACAATGTTTTATAGCTAACAGAGTACAAGTTTTATACTTCTGAATTTTATTTCTAAGTATTTTATTCTTTTTTATGTTATTATACATGAAATTGCTTTCTTAATTTCATTTTCAGATTCCTCATTGTAATTATGTAGTACGCAGTTAAGTGTGTCAGATACCATTGATTTTTGTATATTGATTTTGTATCCTATAACCCTGATGAGCACAAGGGATTTGTATCTAGAATACATAAGGAACTGTTAAAATTCGTAATAAAAAGACAAAATAACCCAATTAGAGATGGATAATTCAAGAATGGATAAACAAAATGCAGTACATGCAAACAAATGGAATATTATTCAACGATTTAAAAAATGAGCTATCAAGCCATGAAAAAACAGAGAACAACCCTAAGTGTATACTATCAGGTGAAAGAAGCCAGTCTGAAAAGGCTACATACTATATAATTACAACTATTTATGTGACATTCTGGGAAAGGCAAAATTAGAGAGAAAGTAAAAAGATCAGCAACGACTGGGGGATTAGGAGGAAGAGGAGGGGAAGGAATGAACAAGTGAAGCACATTTGTCAAATCCAAAAAACACAAAGAGTGAACCCGAATGTAACCTCTGAACTTCAGTTAACACATAAGCATCAGTTCATCAAATCTAACAAACATAGCACAGTAATGCAAGATGTTAAGAGTCACAAAAACTGGATGGGGCACTGAAGGGGGAGCATATGTGAACTCTCTGCACTTTCCTCTCAATTTTTTCTAAAACTGCTCTAAAAAGAAAAATAAAGTCTATTATTATTATTATTATTATTATTTTTTGAGACGGAGTTTCGCTCTTGTTACCCAGGCTGGAGTGCAATGGCGCGATCTCGGCTCACCGCAACCACCGCCTCCTGGGTTCAGGCAATTCTCCTGCCTCAGCCTCCTGAGTAGCTGGGATTACAGGCACACGCCACCATGCCCAGCTAATTTTTTGTATTTTTAGTAGAGACGGGGTTTCACCATGTTGATCAGGATGGTCTCGATCTCTCGACCTCATGATCCACCCGCCTCGGCCTCCCAAAGTGCTGGGATTACAGGCTTGAGCCACCACGCCCGGCTAAAGTCTATTATGTTTTAAAATAAAATGATGCCTAGCAGGAAAAAAGAAATGGCAAAGAGTCTGTACAAATATTTCTCCAAAGAAGATATACAAATGGCTAATAAGCATGAGATAAAAATCAAAACCACAATGAGATACCACTTCACATACACTAGAATGGCTAGAATTAAAAAGTCACACGGTAAGTGTTTGTGAAGATGTGGAGAAACTGGAATGTTAATACACTGCTGAAGGAAACAAAAACCATGCAGCCATTTCAAAAAACAGACTGGCAGTTCCTCAATTAAACAGTTACCATGTGTCCCAGCAATTCTACTCCTAGATATACACCCAAAAGAAATGTCTACACAAAAACTTGTACACCAATGTTTATAGCAGCATTATTCGTAATAGCCAAAAGGGGTAAACAACGTCCTAAGTGTCTATCAACTGACAAGTGGATAAACAAAATGCAGTGTATCCATGTGATGCGGTATCACTTGGCCATAAAAAGTAAGTATTGATACACGTTACAGCATAGACAAATCTTGAAAGCATTGTGCCAAGTGAAAGAATCCAGTCACAAAAGCCGTATGATATAATCCTATTCATATGAAACATACAAAACAAGGAATCCAGAGGCAGAAAGATAAGTGATTGTTGGGGCTACGACTGCAGGGGTGCGGATGACGGATATGGAGAGATGGAACTGAAAGCTAAAGGGCACAGGAGGCAGGATGTTGTGGTGCGTGCCTGTATTCCTAGCTACTAGGGAGGCAGAGGTGGAAGGATTGCTTGAACCCAGGAGTTCAAGGCTGCATTAAGCTATGATCACACCACTGGGCTGGACGACTGAGCAAGACCCCATCTCTTTAAAAAAAAAAAAAAAAGAAAAACCTGGTTGATCCTGCCAGTAAAAAATAAGGTAAAGGACATAGGATTTGATGTGTTTTTTTTGAAGTGGAAAAACAATTCTAAAACTGACTGGAGTGTTGGTTACCAACATCTGTGAATATACTAAAAACCACTGAACTGTACACTTCAAGTGGATGAGTTATACAGTATGTGAATGATCAATAAAGCTATTTTAGAAATCCTAATATTTGCTGTGCTATAACTGCGGCAAAGTACCACAGCGCAATAATTGCAGAGCCAACTCAACCATTACAGTATGACGCAGGAAAACTTAAAACTACACTTAGGATCAACCTAGATGCAGAGCATATTAGCATAGCAAAAAACAGATGACTACAGTAAAGACTCATCCTTCAAGTATTACAGAATTTAAGTGCTGAAAAGGAGAGTACAATTCCTCTGTTTTTTAAGAAAAGGTAAGGACTCATAACTTAGTCACTTGTAAAATTCTGGATTGCTCTCTAAGAGATTTTCAAATATAACTTAAAAGAAAACACACAACCAAGACAATAATGAAAATCTATAGAAAAATTTATTATTACCTTTAGCTTCTGAACATACAGCCATAAATCCATCTTCTGTCATTGTTTTAAACAAAGGTCTGACTCCGTATGTATCTCTGCCCAGGAAAACTTTCTTACTGGCAGTATCCAGTAGAATAAATGCAAACACACCATCCAACATAGAAACTGTTTGCTCAATTCCGCCTTTGTCATAAAGATGAAGAATTATCTCACCATCCACGTTGGTCTGGTATTCAAATCCAAAATGCTGTTGCATCTTAGGAAGCAACAGCAAAACCAAAACATTAGACTCTTTGTGCATTCACTAATAATTTTTTATTGCAAAGTTGCTTCAGTATTTGAGCTCTGTAATTATTTCATGCACTTCGGTGATTTAGGAGAATCACAACATTATCAAATTAGGGTTTGTTTCAGCTCATAATTCTGCAAATTCTTTATCAGACTGCAACTAAAATTTTCATTACATAAAGTTGAACCCATGAAAATTTTGACTGCAGTCTGATAAACAGAATGTAATGGGAATGTACCAGAATCGTAACCTGTAGAGGGATGGAAATGCATATTATACACACACCATGTATGTAATACATATATATTTATATATATGCAGATTGAGTATTCCTTATCTGAAATGTTTAGAACCGGAAGTGTTTTGGGTTTTGTGGGTTTTTTTTGGTTTTTTTTTTTTGGAATATTGGCATATATGTGAGATATCTCAGAGATGAAACCCAAGTCCAAACATAAAATTCATTTGTTTCATATATCTTATACACATAGCCTAAAAGCAATTTTATATAACATTTCAAATAATCTTGTGCATGAAGCAGAGTTTGTGTACATGGAACCATCAGAAAGCAAAGGTGTCACTATCTCAGCTACCATGTATCTGTGGCTGTTTGATATCACTGACCATCATTCCTGACTCTGAATTTATATGCTACTGATGAGTCATCATTTTTATACACTTATTCACATATAAGTAAAAAATATGACATACAATTAATACAGTAAGAAAACAAGCAGTATAGTAGCATCACCAGAATACCTGCATCAGCTGTTAAGCAGCTATATAAACAACGGCAGGCTTTCAGACTCCACCTACAATAGCTGTGTTTTTTTTTTTTTTTTTTTTCTTAAGACGGGGTTTCACCATGTTGATCAGGCTGGTCTCGAACTCCTGATCTCAGGTGATCCACCCGCCTCAGCCTCCCAGAGTGGTAAGATTACAGGCGTGAGCAACCGCACCCGGCCAATGCTGTGTTTTATTAAAAGTTACTGTCCACTGTATTTTTCTTTTCTCTTTTTAGTTGAGAATATCAGAAGCAGTTGAGCAACTGGGAGGTGGGTCCTCTGAGGCTGAGGAGGCATTCTGCCAGATGGTTTTTTAAAATGTTTCTCCAGAGTCATCTGCCTCATTAACAACGGCTTTCATCCTGGAAGTCTCTTCGTTTTTATAAACTGACATAACCTCTTGTTCTGTTATGAATGCAGGTAGCACTAGTCCTTCAGTATCTCTATCACACATTTTCACCATGTCATCTATACCTTTATGCTACAGTCCAATTTCTCCAACAGCTTGACTTTCTGGGTTATAAACACACGTTTCAACTTTTTCTTATCATTGCTGCTCACAGGGACTTCTACAGGCCTTTTTATCATTTTCAGTATCTTCACACCACAGAGCAGAGAATAAGCAAAAATATACAACAGGTAATGCACACAGGTCCCATCTGTGGGGATCCTGCCACTCGGGTGTCCAGCTTGCACATGTGCCATTCTACTACCCTTTGTGGGCGCACTTGCATGGGGAAATCTGGGCACGAGTAAAAAAGTTACACTGCAGCTGAAGGGGGCTGAGAGGGTCTTTCTTCCCTAGGGAACGCCAAATAAACTCTGTGTTGTACACTTGCATTTTGACAATGACATCAAAATGTACATGCAGTGTCATGTCAGTGCTCAAAAAGTTTCAGATTTTGGAGCATTTCAAATTTCAGATTTTAAGGATGCTCACCCTCTAAATTTAAGATAATAGGCTGCCTGGTTGCCATGATACTAAAAAATGTGTCTTGTGCAACTGTTAACTTTTGGTTTGAGAAGACAGTATTGGCTAATAAGTTCCTCAGGTTCAGCTTCAAAGACCTATCTATAAAAATGTAAAGCACAGGGACAAACATCATTTGGTATCATTCCCTGAAAAATGACTCCATCACAGTAACAGATACATGATCCAAAACAAAGCTGCTGGTCCCTAAGGGTGGATGACAATGCCCAGTGCTTCCACTACTGCAGTAGCATTAAAGCTAGTCCTCAATGATAAACTGACAATGGTGCTTTATTAGTCTGCATGCCCCAAAGGAACAGCAAAGGGACTGTCTGCCACTGCACACAGAGTAACAAGGTTTGATAAGGCTAATCCCCAGTTGAAACCCTCCATCATCACTGGCAAACTATGAGGATAAAAAGCCCTTGATGTATTCCTCTTCATACCTTTTACTCACATTTTTGGTGGACATTAGAGAAAGAGGTTTAAATCAGGTGCAAATCCTAGATTAAGTTTAAAACATGTTTACAAATTTCAAAAACTAAATCTATTATTTATGTGCATGACCCTAAAATATGCTTCACACTCCATTCAGCTCACTCCCTGATTTGCAAAACTTTTGTCTATGAGCCCTCCCTGAACTGTCCAAAAATGGCCTTTGTCCTCTATTTGGTCCCTCTCTGCTCCATCAGGGATAATCCTGTAACTAGCAGGTGGGGTCAGGAAATAGTCTTTAGCTGACTGTTCTGGGCTCAACTGCCTGAAAGGTAAGTGATCATAAAGCATTCGGTGATAGCAAGCAACAGCTTCCCAGATCTACCTTGCCTACCGCTTTGGCCTAAACTTTGCAGATAATTAATTTAAGAAGGAGAAGCAACCTTCGGGTAATGGATGTATCACTTCCTATTCTCCTAAACGAAACTCCAATGCTGCATCTTAGATAAAAGCCCTCAGATATTGCCTCCTGAAGTCACGCTGGCATTTGACTTGGTTGCAGCCCTCTGACACTCTCCTTCAGGGACAGGGACTGCTCTTTGCCCCAGCCTTTATTCCATTCCTCCTCTCTTTCATTCACTCTCCCTCTACTCCCAGCATACCTCTGGCTATATTTTATTAGTAGTACACTTTATTTTTATCTAAAAGGGAATGGGGGGGATTTTTGAGCTTATGTTGCAGAATATATAAACCTAAAATTTACATTCTGCTCATTAGATGAATTTCTGGCTGCCCCAACTGCATAAGCTTAGAAGTTTGGTAAAAGCAATGGAACAAACTTAACTTCTCTACTTTTACAAATACAACATTTGGCTAATTTAGAACAGAAATTAATTAAGTTTGAAATGTTTAACTTCTTGTAACTTTTTAACAAAAGCAACAACACTGTTCAAGTTAAAGGGGCACTTCCTATCTCATTTAAGGGGAAAGCCAAGCTGATAATGCCATAATACCACTTAGCATTCTCATGCATATGACACTGATTTGACTTAGAAAGAAAAAAGTTTTAATACTCTCTTCTTCTACCTCCCACTAGCAGGAAATTCCATCCTTGCCTCTCCTTTTCCCTATTTCCTCTCCAATCACCTAGAAAAATGGTCTGGTGCATAGTAGGCCCTTAACAAAGGAATAAAGAAATGTGTGAAAGGAATTTCCTGAATAACTATTTTAAAACTTTTTAAATGAGAAGACTATTATTAAAAGTATTCCTATGAGCAGGCAATAAACAAAGACAAAGCTATTATTCAGAGATAAAAATGTCCCAAAGGTGGTTAGGATATACATCTCTATCAATGCATGACAGGTATCTATCAAGAAATCTCAAAAAATATCAAGAAACATCACAACCAAATGCGTGAACCTTGAATGAAATCTAGCTCAAAACAAACAAAAATCTGTGGGGAACACTCCTGTGTGAGACCCCCAAAAGGCGTGGGTCTCACTATACGGTGAGTTTGATCCCAAACGCAGTTTCCTGTTGGAGGCAGTCCAGCTACCAGGAAAAAGGAACTGAAAGATGGATGATCAGTTTCTAATAACAACCACGATATTGTTTGGGCCTAACTATGCAGTGCTGCTAGACCAAGTGACTCCTTACCAGCAACCAGTTTCTGCTTTTAATCTTTATGACTCTAAGTATAGCTTTAACCTTTTTTTTACTTGCCTGACTGCCTTGTACCCTAGATAATGGTTTAACTGTGGGGATATCTGCAAAGCAAATGCCACCATACGGGATGGCTTTGATCCCTGACTCAGAGACTCCTGAATGGGGGAGTTGAGATAAGCTGAGTCAGGAGCAGACAAAGGAGAATCTGGTTAAAAGATATTCTGATGAGCAAAACCAGAAAACCTTTTCACATCTCAGTTCTAAAACAAGATCAAACCAGAAATACCTGCAGCCATGAGGAATAATGTCTGGATGTAAACAAGCTTTGTGATCACAGGAAATTCTGTTACTTTTTACAACCACTGATTGTGTATCTGACTTCTCTGTTGTATAGGCCAGTAAGGTATAGATTTGCATTTCCTCTTGCAATGAGGTAAACCAGAGCAAAGAAAGTGTATTTATTCCTGGCCTTTGAAAAATAAAATTCACTGTTTAGGCACGGCCTATCCAGCCCTCCAGACGCCTTGCTTTCTGTCTCCCTTTCTTCCACGCACTCTCTCTTCCAGGTATTGGGACCCTCTTGCAGGTCGAGAGACCCCCAGCAGACGTGCCGTCCCGGACCGGTCTCCGACAAAAATCGGCTATAAAGATATTCTCGGTAGCATTCTGAGAGGCCAAGGTGGGCAGACACCCTGCGCTCAGGAGTTCCAGACCACCCTGAGCAACATGGCAAAACCCCATCTTCAATAAAATACAAAAAATTAGCCGAGTATGGTGGCAGGTGCCTATAGTCCCAGCTACTCAGGAGGCTGAGTCAGGAGAACTGCTTGAACCCAGGAAGCAGAGGCTGCAGTGAGCCGAGATCATACCACTGCACTCCAGCCTGGGTGACAGAGTAAGACTCTGTCTCAAAAAAAAAAAAAAAAAAAAAAAGATATTCTCAGGACACTTACGGAAATTTAATTTAAGTATAAACTGGGTATTAAGTGGTATTCTGGAGTCTTAGATTTAATAATGGTATTGGTGTTACAAAGAAGAATGTCCTTATTCTTAGGTGATAAATGCTTATATATTTAGGAGTGTCATAATATCTGCACCATACTCTCAAATGATACAGCAAAAAAGTGTGTGTGTGTGTGTGTCTGTGTTTGTGAGGAAAGAAAAATCAAGCAAATATGGCAAAACGTTAATGACTATTCAATCTAGGTGCTCACTATTCCCTTATTTTCTGTATGTTATCAAATAAAAAGTTGGGGAGAAGGAGAAAATAAGAGTCAAAGAAATTGAACTGTAATCTCCATTTTTATCACTTTTTTTGTGACCAAGTCATTTCATTCACCTTTTTATTCATCAGTTCCCTGACTATCTACACACTTACAGCAAATGAGATAACAAAGAGTGTTTTGCAAAGTAAAAAGCATGATACAGAATACATAATATCATCATAACCAACAAGCTCTGAAGTTTAATCACATCCAGACATCTGGCTTCTTTTTCCTTACCTTCCTATGGTTGTAGATCTCACCATTGTAACAGAGCCACAAATACGGATATTTCCTCACTCGAATTGGCTGCATTCCATACAGAGGGTCCACTACTGCCAACCGGTGAAATCCAAAGCAGCAGTTGGTGTATCCATTGACATTCTCAAAACGAAATGCATCTGGACCCCTGTGTGCAATCTTCATAGCACTCAGACACTGAACAGAAAGGCAGTCATCACTGCCAAACAGGGCCCAAATGCCACACATGGTGTAATGAAACTATAAGCTCTCTATGGAGAAAAGCAGACAAATAAAAAATATTCAATATCCAATCCAAGTCTGCATTAAATCTTGATTCCAGAAACGTGCGTGCATAAACCACTTCAAAGACTAAAATGTAAACCACCTTTTCTATAGCTATTTCCCATTAGGTTGACAGCCCATGGGAGTAGAGAATGATTTCATTTACTTACAAGTATTCAGAGAAGATATTGACCTCTACATCCAACCTGCTACAGCAGCTTAGCATCCACCAAAGCCTGCATCTCGCCCACTTTAGTGGTTGGCTAGAGCTGGCAGCATCCAGGCCACATCTATTTCTGCAATCTAGGTTTGCTTCCAAGATACAGAAACAAATGCAGGCTGGCTCCAACCTAGCCAGAGATCCCAGCCCCACTCTCTCCATCCCAAAATCCCTCAAAGATTCAAGAGACTTTCCAGATTATACTAGAGTCTCCTCTCAGGTTCGCTTGACAGTTAAATGCCCTCTCTTTACTTGAACTAGCTGCAGGTAGAATATAATGGGTAGAACAGAAAATCATACTGCTGTAATACTAGGATTACTATCTGTAATACTAAGATACACAGCTCTTTTAAGCATTTCACTATATTATAGCTAGCTTACCTCTAAATGATGTATCCAGATGTTATTGAAGAAAGTCTAAATGGGAAAAAAAAGCAATTTAATTTGATATCAGATATCCTGGCTTTATAACAAATAAATCATTTTAGGTTGACAGAAGATACAAAATGTTTGCTATCAAAACATCCTAACTGAAAAAAAATGTCCTCAAATATTTCTGTCTCAAAGTTTAATGTTCAGTACGGAAACAAAGTAGATGGGACATACACTAACAACAGCCCTAAAAAAAAAACTTGGCTCATCCCTACAAGCCAGGAAGCAAATAAATCATCCTTATATACATTAATTATTTTCCAATTTCAAATTATCAGCTTTGAAATAAAGGGCTGTTTTATTTGACTACTACCAGCTCAAAATGGCCATTTTCATTAAACATCTTAAAACATCATATTAAAACTTGAAAAATAACAATTTTGATGTTTTCTTAAAAAAAAAACTGCAAATTGCAGCAAATGCCCAGATAATTTGGGATAGATACCCTAAGGAAAAAATACATATTCAAATTACATAAGTCACTTTGAGCAATCCTTTGAGGATATTTCATTTTTATCTAAATGAACCAAAGGTTTAGCTGGCTTTTCCAGAAAACCAGAACCAAATAATACATGGTTATAATGAAAATCATCTCAAGCAAATTGGAAATGAAATGCCACACATCCTACACTGTCCCTTCCATGCACTTTACCAAATAGCCTATAACAAATTCTTTACTTTCAGATTTAGTGGGAAAACTCCATGAGATTTAAATGAGATGACTACTAATAAGCCATCTGCCTTTAACTCTATACCAATTAAAAATGGGTTAGGAAAGTGCTTTCAAAATCAAATGTGGTCATCACAGAATAATGCGCTGCTTGTGAATATTAAGCCTGCTATAGTAAATACACGCTAACCACTAAATTGGAGGGGAAAGAGGGAGAACAAAGAGGCATGTAAAGTACACTTACTTATTTCTAGTAGGAAAAAGCCAATTAAAACTACAACTTATTTTTTATTGGAATCAGTCTTATAGGAGGGCAAAGTTCCTACTGCTGCTACCTGTTCTCAGTATTTTTCTTTTTTCTTTGTAAACTTCTAGAGCAGTGCTGTCCAATAAATGTGAGCCACATACGTAATTTTAAATATACTAGTAGCCCCATTAAAAGAAAAAGGTGAAATTAATTTTAAATACACTTAATATATCCCAAATAGTATCATTTTAACATGTAATCAATATAAAAACTTATCGAGCAGATATTTTACACTGTTCTTCCTACTCCAACGACAAAATCCAGTGTATTTAACACAACACATCTCAATTCGGACCAGCCAGCATTTCACGTGCTCAAAAAGTTACAGGTGGCTAGTGCCTACCGAATTGGACACTGCAGTTTCAGTACATTTAATTTCTATTCCACTTAGTGCTACTTAAAACTTCACCCTCTCACCTTACTTTTATGTTAAGATCTCAGTAAGTAACCAAGTGTACAAAGGTTCAAACCCTACTTTACCTCTAATTACTCTTACAGCAATGTGATAAATCATGATTTACAAAAAAAGAAAGAAAAAAGAAAAAAAAAACACTGCTGTTAAAATTATCAGCCAAGCGCCCAGGGTAGTGGACAGTAAAGAAATAATGCAGGCCAGAGGCCGAGATGAAAACTATCCTTTTATTTAAAGCTTTAACAATAACCTGAAGTCAGCCCTGTAAAACAGACATCGATTGAAACAGGCACGCTAGTTCTTTTGCCTTTTTCTGTGCTTGGCCTTGTGCGTCCCTAAACAGACTGCCTCTCAGCCGGGTTTGCTCAGCAAGTCACTTGTTGAGTCTTGCAGTCTACATAGGGGTGGTGACTGGAGGGGGGATGGGGTGAGAAGAGAGGAGGCATGGTGCGGGAGGCCAGGTGAGGAGTGGGGCAGTTGGAAGGGAAAACACAAGACACCCAGGTCTCTCCTTCCTAGATCAGGACCACGCGACACGTGACTGCGCCCCGGCCACGTGGAGGCTCCCACCCGTCTTCTACAGGGTCCCGGACCGCGAAAATATCCATGGGCTTCAACGCCACATAGTTTAAAAAAAAAAAAAGTACACATATAACATCTACGGGGGCTCAGGTCGCCGCTGCCTTCTCTCCGGAGCGGCCCAGTCTTCCCGCCGCGGTTCCCTTGATGACAAAGAGTCCTTCCGCACCGGCTTGCTGCGAGGTGCGCAACAATCGCTAGGCGTCCACCTCGCCCTCTCTACTGCCGGAGACGCAGCATCAGCCGGCCCGAAGCGCGTCCGTCCGCCGGGTGCCAGGCGGCAGAGCGCATCCTCCTCCCCCCGGGCAGCCCCAGAGCCCGCGAGGAGGGTGCTGCGTGGGGCGCGGGGCTCCGTCTTACCTGGGCGCAAGCGGGTCGAGGCGATGTGGGCCGCGGAGGCCAGGTCTGCCAACGGCGTGTCGGGAGATGGATGGCGTGTCGTGCTGTGGATGGCGTGCCGGGCGGAGGAGCTACTGGCGCTTGTACCGGTCTGGCTGCTGTAATGCGTACGGGAAATTTCATCAGCCGGCGAGAACCAACCAGCGCGCGCAGGGGCGGGGCCCAGGGGGCGGCCGGGCGGGTGGGGACTGAGCCCGACGGCGGGAGTTCTCCAGTTCTTTTGTTTCCGGTGCGTCAGTTTAAGGATAGCCTCAGATATCTGCCTAGGTTACCTGCTGTTCTGACAACCAGGGAGTCTTCTGCACTTGGTTTGTTCTTAGGTAAATCATCTCCGTTTATTGTTGCATTACCGTCTGTTTTATTATGCAGTGCAGAGAAAAGCTTGCCCTAAGAAACTGATGGGTAAGGCCTAAAATGTCCTTATAAAATCTATTAATAAATCGGAGGGCCAGGCGCGATAGCTCACTCCTGTAACCCCAACACTTTGGGAGGCCAAGACAGGAGGATCACTTGAAACCAGGAGTTCAAGGCCAGCCTGGGAAACACAGTGAGATCACATCTCTACAAAAAATGGTGGCACACCCTTGTAGTCCCAGGAGCTCAGGTGGATAGCTTGAGGCCAGGAGCTTGAGGCTGTGGTGATCTGTACTCCAGCCTGGGTGACAAAGTGAGACCCCCATCTCTGAAACAAAATAAAATCTAAATCTAATTGATACGTGAAGCCAAAATACATCAGTGGTTCTTAAACATTTTAAGTACAAAGATTCCTTTTAGAATCTCAAAAAAGAATTTTGTCAATGTGCCTCCACAAGATGATGATGTGCTTTTAAGTATCACTTTGATGAAAAGACATCATGATTAAATATATATATATAACACTCTTAAATCGCATTTTACTAATTACATCAGCACCAAAATAAATGGAGAAATAGTAAAATTATAGGTGCACCACCTACTAAGATCAGACTACGGTCAATGTGTGGAGAGCATGCAGGTTTGATGGTCCCATACAATGCATTCCTGACTAAATAAAAAATGCCAACAATATAAAATCCCTAAGCACTGAAGATGGAGTAGATGCTTAGTAGTTACAGGCAAGAGCAAAGATAGATGACTTGTTCTCAGGTTCATTCTTGCTGGAAAGTTTTCAGGATCAAACAAACTTTACTGTATCCTAATTGACACATTTTAAACCTGAGAGCAATGAGAGAAAGTAGGTCTTCTGTCTACATTTTACAAATGAAAAAATAAGACTCAGAGAAGCTGAGGGATTTATCCAAACACAACTTCACAACAGCAAAGAACTGAGTCATAATCTGTGTAAACCCAGAGCCCATGTCCCGTAGCACCTAGCCTGTGTAGTGGAAGACAGGTTCCCCTACTTGATGTGTTATCTAGTCTGGTTAGTTGTGCTGCATATCTCCTGCTTGTCCCTCCAGAGTGCCACTCTTCCCCACCTCTCTTTCTGTCCTGGCTCCCTTGCCCTCCTCTTTCAGAGAGAGTGACCAAAAAAAGACATTTCATGGAGATACAAAAGGTGGGATGGAATAGTCTCAGGACATTTACCCCCATGGCTTCCTGACCTCAAAGCTTTTCTCCTGAAGGCCACAGCTTCTGTGGACTGACCCTTTGCACACATCCTTTTCTTCACATTCCAGAACTGCTCCCTATCTAGCTACTCTATCACAATGCTACTTGCTCTCTCACTGTAGGATCTGTTAAAACAAAAAGTGAGGCTGGGTGCAGTGGTTCACGCCTGTAAATCCAGCACTTTGGGATTTATGTATATATTCATTTTGTAGAACTGCAGATCCCATGGAACTGGGAACTCTTTATTCTTCCAACAAAATATTTATTTAGCCACAAATAGAAGACCAGTGATTCAGCCTACATACACACACACACACACACACACACACACACACACATACACGAAACAAAAAAGCACTGGTAAGGCTGGGGGCAGGGTGGGGGGAAAAATCTAAAAAATTAAAAATTTACTGAGAAGGACCACTAATTAGAATCTGAATAATTACTGCTTTAAAGCAGTTAAGAATAGAGCACAACGAACCCAGAGAAGAACTAGATACAATTCAGAGTGGAGCTAACAGAGCAGATGGTATCTGAGCCAAGACTGATAGAATAACATTAATAAGGGCATTCACTGCCGATTATTATCTCCTAACTGCAATGCATTTCATAGAAGTTATTTATACTTTTCACATCAACCATGGAAAACAATTATTATTATTCTTTTTTGGAGTTAAGGAAGTGGTGTAAGAAGATAAATTTCCAGTCATGGAAAATAATAATTATTCTTCCCTTTTGAAGTTAAGGAAGTGGCGTAAGAAGACAAATTAACATACCAATACCAAACAGCTCACATTCAGTGACTCAGGAGTGTCCATGTTTCCCCAAGAGAGGTCTGTCTGCTCAGCAGGCAGACCCAGTAGAGAGAACCCTTCCAAGAAGTGGCAGTGAGACATGAAAGGTCTCAGTGTGTCTCTGAGAACAGCAGAAACCAGTATGTAAACCAAGTAGAAAAAGCCAGTGAAAAGGCAGGGATTTCCTCTTAAGAGAGCAAGAAGAATAAACAGAGCAGGACTGAGGGAAGCCATGGGAAATGGGCAGAATACCATGCTTCGAACAGGAAAGAGGGAAGGAATGCTGGTGGTCTAGGTAAGTGTAGAAGCAGAGGAAAGGGAAGCGGAGGAAAAAAAAGGATGTATTAGTCAGGGTTCTCCAGAGGAACAGAACCAATAGGATACACGTATATGTAAAAGGGAGTTTATTGGAGAGAACTGGCTCACATGATCACAAGGCAAAGGCCCGCTGTAGGCTGTCTGCAAGCTAGGGAAAGAGAGAAGCTGGTAGTGGTTCAGACCAAGTCCAAAAGCCTCAAAACCAGGGAAGCCCACAGTGCAGCCTTCAGTCTGAGCCAGAGGGCCTGAGAGCCCCAGGGAAGCCGCTGGTAAAAGTCTCAGAGTCCAAAGGTGGAAGAACCTGTAGTCTGATGTCCAAGGGCAGGAGGAATGGAAGCAAGTGTCCTACACAGGAAGAAGAAATAGAGAGAGCCAGAAGCCTCAGCTAGCAAGGTTATCACACCTTCCTCTGCCTGCTTTATTCTAGCTGCTCTGGCAGCTGATGGGCTGGTGCCCACCCACCTTGATGGTGGGTCTTTCTTCCCAGTCCACCAACTCACAGGTCAGTCTCCTCTGGCAACACCCTTACAAACATACTCAGGAACAATACTCTAGGCAGTTCTCAGTCCAATCAAGTTGACACCTAATGTTAACCATCATTCAAGATTTATAAGCTAAGCATGTCAGTGATGCTAAATAAGTGCTGGGGAATAAAAAAACAACAGAGAGGAGAAAAGGAATGCAGAGGAGGGTTTACAAGGTTAAAAAGAATTCATACTTATAGGCCCCTCTTTTCCATGAAAAAACAGGAGGCTCATCTTCTGCAGGTACTGAAGGGTTTGGGATGTTCTGAGGGTGAGCTTGAAAATAACAGACATATGTCAGAGTTAATGATGGGAAAAAGAAAAGATGAGTGAGCATCATCGTGGTCCAGCAAAGGAGGAAAACCCAACTATGAATGTGAACCGGTGCCAAGGGCAGAGCCTCCAACAACATGGGGCACTCCGAGAGGTGGAATCAAGACCTGGAGAGGATGGATCCAGGCTCTGTGTTTGGCACAGTGTGTGTATAAGAAGGATAAGAGGGCTCGGAAGCACAGGTGCAGTGAGTGTGCCTCCGCAGGGACACGCTTTTGGTATGTTCTGTTATTACTCAAAAATATGCAGTGCCCCTCCCTGGGGGAGGATTGTACTATATCTAGTCCATTGATATCTGTGTAGCCAGGTGACTTGCTATTGCCAATGAAACGTGAGCAGAACTGACAGGTGTCACTTGTGAGCAGAAATTTTAAGAACCATGATGTAACTCAACAATACGTCTTTTTCCTCTGCCAGTATTCCAGGTAGGAGCAACTCCACCAACCAAGGGCCCAGAATGCGAATTCTGTAGAGAAGGGTCACAGCCTACCCATGATCAATATGTAGCTGAAGTGAGCAAACTTTTCTGGTCTTAAGTGTCTGAGACTTGGGAGTCATTTGTAACCACAAAATAACCCAATCCAAACTGTCTAACAGAGCTTGAGTATTTCAAGTTGAAAGGGAAACAAGTAAAACCAGAAGTGACCTAATTTGTTGAAAGCGTAACAGGGGTTGATGATTAGAGGCATGGTTGCAGGCTAAAGAAGTATGGGAGTGAAAGGGACAGATGAAATGGACATTTTCATGAGCAATGAATGTAGAATTTTACAGTGTTAAGTAAAACAGTGAATTTAAGATTATCTAGCCCAGGTCCCTGAACACAATGTGTATTAAATCGACAAAAGCCTTCCTCACACAGGATTCCCATAAGCATTTCCAGGTTGTGCCCTGTCTAGCCGTCATAGATACTGTTTATAGATTCTGAACTAGGAATCAGGAGCCCTGGAGTAACAAGCCCCAAGAAAATCACAGTAAAATTGTGAGTCCAGAAGCTTGACAAACATCCACTTTCATCATCTTCCAAATGCATCTCTTACCTCCCTCTTCCTAGTTCATTACATCACAGGCATATTGATCTCTTTGCTGTTCTTGAACACAACAAGCAGAGGTGAACAGGGTTTTTAGCAGCTGAAAGTTAGACTTCTTGTAGCTGGAGACCAGACTAATCCCTTTTTCTTCGTGTGGAGGTTATGATTAGGATTGTCAGAGGAAAAAGGGTTTAATTGTTTCATTAAACTAACAATATGTTTTGAGCATCTCTTGTGTTCTGGGGCATGGAACTTATTACATTCATGGTGCAGAGGAACAGGGGAAGTCAACAAGACACATAAATTACATATATAAATGAAGATAAGTGCTATGGAGAAAAACAGAGTAGAGGAGAAAATATCATGATGGGGTCTGGACATTGCATTATGTAATATCATCCTATATACTCTGCTATAGTCCAAGTAGTCTTCTATTATTCTCATTGAATAAAATGGTACGAACATCTCTCTGGGATGAAACAAAAACATTCTGCATTGCTATAGTGAAAGG